TCAAACATCTGATTACAGTTGCTCCAGCTTGGGGCTAGGGCCTTGGCCCTTGCTATCTGCCTTGTAATTCTGTTACTGTTAACTGGTCCTGCCAGTCCCAGATACTCATTTCTGTTTCTACTCTATGTCGCACCTTCTGTCTCAAGTTTCAACCTCACCCCTATTCACATGGGCCCAGTCTCTGCCACCTGCTATAGCTCACTCTTTGCCAGAGAAGGAACCACTTTCTTATTTCCAACCCAGTATCCTCATCCAGTATGCTTTACCTTCCATAGCCCTGACCTTGAAAGCAAGTACAAATTGCATCTATCTCAACAACCTTAAGATTATGAGGCCATCAGTCTTACAAATGTGTGGCATTGTTCAATGAAGTCTATAGGGAATAACAGAAATAAAGTCATGGGTGGAGAAAATTACAGTGTGCTAGTGCAAGCAGCATCCAGTTATCTGTAAGTGCTAAAGCAGCATTAGCTTATTTATATTTATTTGGTTTCTTCAATACTCAGGTTACCATAAAGCACATTTTGTCCCCAGAGGACTTTGCATATGGAGTAGAATTGGATGCAAATGAGAGCAGCTCTAATCACTTATCCATTTATTTAATAATTATTTATTGAGTACTGACTATGGCCTGAGGCCAAAGGTTACAAGATGCAATGGTTTTACCCCAGCTTTCATGGAGCATACAGTCCACTGGGAGCAATACAAATAAATGATAATAATGCTATTATCTCCCTGCAGCATGCAGAGCACTGAGCAATGGGGAGAAACGTTCATGGTATTTTATTATAGTTAGAAATCCCAGTAATTTTGACAGACTCTTTAGAACAAGATTCGGAGAGTGTTATTAGAGTTTGGACCAGCAGCATCCAAGCTTTTTTTCTTTATAAAAGCAAAATAAACTCATCCCACTAAGCATGTTTGTTTGTAAATTCTGTCTATGTACCGTTGCACTTGTATGTTGTCTACATTGTAAAGTGTCACTCACATAGTCATGTAAGAGGATAAGCTTTTAAAGATATATAAATGGAAGTTCCAGTGTTCTCCAGGTCACCTTCAGTAGCTTGGGTGTAGACATCTCAACTTTGATACCACCAGGCTAATCCAGAGTAGAGTTCCCACTATGGTCAATCAAGAATCTGGATTTAATAAATGTATCCAGATATTTGGGACAACTCAAAAGTGATAACTCCAAGAGTAGCATGTAATCCTCCAGACATTTCCAGGATCCTGGTAAACACCATTTGTACGAGGCATGATATTTCCCTGGAAGAAATCTGTTCAAGAGAGCAAATTAGACTAAAGTTGCTTAGTGAGCATAGAATTAGAACAAATGGAATTGTCGTCTGTAACGATGTTTGATCAAACTGCCCTTCTCCTCTCTGGGGATATTTCTGCCTGAATAACCAACACTGGACCTCAAATAAATACTGACATGTTTTACTTTTAGCTTTCCTTTTCCTAGAATCATTTTAGACAACTGCCCTTCTGTTAATCCATCACCATCTCAGGAAATAAGAATATATTTGAATGGATTGAAACTTTAAAATGTTAATTGCATCCCTGTTATGAGGATACAGCCTAAAAAGGCAGAATTGCTTTGCTTAAGACTGAAGAATGGTTGAAGACTTTGATCTTTTCAGGTGCTTAGGTGGTTTTGACCAATTAGGATGAGCAGAATCCTTCTGGCTTCATTTTCTCCCAGCTTTGGCATAGATTCTCTGCTGGTTGAGATGCTTGCTGATTCTATTTAGGCTTTCTCAAGAGTCCTTCATTTGCAAGTAGCCAGTTAAGGTGATTGAGCCTGAACTTCTCTCTCCTTTTAAGAAACCAGACTCTGACCCAGAGAAAAGGCTTGGGCTTCTGAAGATAGCAACTTCAAGGATAAAAAATAACCTTTCTTCTCCCGTATTATCCTACCAAATACCAAATCATATTCTTTTTCCAAAAGAAAAAGCCCTAACCTACTTTTTTCCTACTGGCAGCCATGACTTTGCAATTGAATAATAGCTTAAAATTCCACTCAGACTTTTGGGATAACATAAGAACAGTTAGTTCCTCCACCTTGACCACCTAGACCATCACTATTTTTATCTTATTAAGTTGGGGGTTTTTTTGTTTGTTTATTTGTTTTATGTTTTTGGTACCGGAGATTGAACTTGGGTCCTTGTGCCTGCAAGGCAGGCCCCAGAACCACTGAGCTAAATCCCCAGCCCCACTATTTTTATCTTAATTGAGACATTTACAAATATATTTTACATTGACTTATTGATTGTGTTTTAGCTGCTAAAATAATTAACAGTGAGACACTTAAACAGTGAACTTCAAAGTCTAAGGAGATATTATGAACGACTTTATGTCCATGAATTCAACAATGTAGCTGAAACGTATGAATTTCTTGGACACCAAAACCCAATTTGATGTGACTAGTGAAACAAAATGAGTTTCATCGATTCAAAACCACCAACTACTTCTAACCTGGGACTTTCCACATTAACCAAACAAATACAGTCAGCGTTCCATAGCTCTGTGTTCTGTGTCCATAGATTCAACAACTCCTTATAAAAATATTTTTAATTGCATCAGTACTGAACATATCCCAACTCTTTTTCATTATTCCCTAACCAATATGGTATAGCAACTATTTCCCTTTGCCTTTGCATTGTATGAAGTATTATAAGTAATATAGAGGTGATTTAATGCAGACAAGTGAGTGTGCAAGGTTATATGTCAATATTTCTGCATTTTATATAAGGGACTTGAGCATCCATACATTTTGTATTTGCTAGGGATCCCAGAATCAATCTCCCTAGATACCAAGGAATGACTGTATTTCCTTTATCTTGCTTCCACAACACCTTATAAAATTCCTTCTCCTAGGGCTGGGGATTTAGCTCAGTGGTAGTGCTCTTGCCTCACAAGTGCAGGGTCCTGAGTTCGATCCCCAGTACTAGAAAAAAAATTCCCTCTCCTGCCCTCAACTACTTGGGCACTAAATCACTTGCAGCTTGGTGCTGCCCCATTTGGGAATTACTAGGCTCGCATAAACTCATTAAAAATGTACTCTGGCTATCTACAATGTGTTTATCTTTAAATATTTCATGCATGTATCAAAATGTCATTATATCCCATGTCTGTAAAAACAAAAACAAATAGCAGTAATTAAATAAGAAGGTATTTTAATACATAAGATATTAAAATACGTTTAATTTAAATTTATCCCTTAAATATAGAAATATTAATACAAAGTCACTTTTATTTTAAAATAGTAGTTGAGGGCCACGGATTTAGCTCAGCGGTTCAGTGGCCTGCCACGTAAGAGCAAGGACCCAAGTTCAATCCCTGGTACCAATAAAATAAAATAGTAGTTGAATTTAATATTGCTTATGTACATAATTATTATTAAAGGAAGTATGCAGTGTAGATCTGAATAGGAGCTAATAAACTGAACTTAGTTAATTCACTATGCTCTTTGGAGAAAAGGTATAGCAAATGTCATTTTAAAAAACATTTTGGACTTGGCATTAAAGCTAACATCTTTAGTTACTGTTTTAAAATATGTTCATGTATTTTGGTCTTACGGTGTGATAGTAAATGTATTCAGAAATGTACACGTTAAAAAGGAATTTCTCCCTTGGAGATGAAAAAGAGAGCCAAGTCATGGTCTCCTGCTATATCCTTGGTCCATCTGTCCTAATGGAATCTAAATAATCTAACTTGGTGTTTTCAATTTGTCCTGTCAATTACTGCTCTCCTGGGAATGCTGGCTCCTCTGTCAGGCAATGAATGAATGGGGAGGAGTGGTAGGGACCACCTTGTTTACCCCAAGAGGTCCAGGGTAGAGGCTGACTGAAGGCCCTTGGGTGAGCTCAGCTCATCACTCTCCATCTACCCCAAAAAACACAAGTCAGAGCTACACTGGGGTTCCCAGGGAGAAGCTGGGGTTCTCAAAGAGGAACTGGTTGGAGAAGAGACTGGTTGGTTGGTTGATTGGTCAGTTAGTTGGCTACTTTGTTTTTGATTTTCTGTTGCTGTTGTTGTGGTGATGGTCATCATTTTTGGGTTTTGTTTTGGTGATAGTGAGCCCAGGGCCTTTGCACAGAGATATATCCCAAGCCCTTTTTTAAATTTTCTATTTTTATTTTTGAGACAGGATCTCACTAAATTGCCCATGCTGGCCTTGAACTTGCAATCCTCCTGCCCAAGCCTAGGAGGGTTGGGATTATAAGCATATTTATGCCACCATGCTTGGCTAGGAAACCCTCTCTTTAAGGCAATTCACTCCTGGGGCTTGAAGAGGGGAGCTGAAGAATCTTCCCTGGTTCAGCCTGGTCACTTCTTGCTTTTTCCCAATCCCCACTTCTTCAAGGCTTCTGACTCCCCGGCCACATCCCTGGAGCACCTGCACCAGATGTGTGAGCACTTGCTGATGCAGGAGCAGGTACTGGTTACACCAAGGCAGAGATGGATAAGAAGTATAAGCAGAATGCCACAGGCTGCTTTTTCCTCATTTATTATCCTTTCATGGAGCCCAAATGCCTCTTGCACCAGACCAAAGCCACCAGCTTACAGTCAGGAACACAAAACAGCCCCCGAGCCCCACCCCACACAGCAGCACCAGGGGCTTGTCTTCATGAATTCTTGCCTTTTTCTCCCAAAGTCCCTCCAGGACTGACTGAGTAGAAACAGCAACTGTCAATCTTAAACAAAACATTTTATACATCAATATTTTAATGGTACATAAATCTTGTTTTTTAAATCTAAATAACATGCACACAATAAATGTATTTTAATTTTATATGCACATCCACGTGGCTTTCAGAAATTCAAAGACACGTTTATGGGAACTTAGTACAAAAAGTCCCCACGATAGGAGGAGAGGGGACTAGGCCATAGTCAAAGCAGGATGATAAAGCTTGAGACAAGGATGTCTTTTATGTCATTACCCCAATCAAGGTGTAAATTCACAGTTGTATTTTTTTTTCCTTTTCTTCTTACAGGGAATTACTGGAATGCTGCCTCTTTCCCAAACCCATCATCCTACCTGCACTTCTCTACTTTCCAAGGGGAAACCAGTGCAGACATTTCTTTCTACTTCAAGACATTAGTCCCCCGGGGAGTGTTTCTTGAAAATCTGGGGAATGCAGATTTCATCAAGCTGGAGCTGAAGTGTGAGTATCCATTTTCTGTCAACTCGGGAATGGCACCTTTGTGCCTGCAGGCTGGTCCTGAACAGAGTGGTAAGGTGGCACCATTTGATGGGAGCAAATGGTCCCCACTTTGTTCCAGGGGCAGCGCTGGAATGCAAACTGGAGCTTGGTCCTTGAGATGCTCCCAAGGACAAGGACAAGGACACAGGTCCAGGCAGAGATGCCCATTCCAAGTGGCCAGGGAGATCACACTACCCCAGCATGGGAGGATAATAGACAGAAGGTTCTTTCTCTGCTTTCTCTTTTTCCAAGGAGACAGGTCATGTGTAGACAGAGGAGTGTGCAAAGTGATCACAGAAACTGGAAAGGGGAGGAGGAAAACACAAAGGAAAACTGAGTTGTAAATAGTAACATCTGCCTGACAGGCAGCCAAGACCAATTATCAGGTGCAACACTGAGTGTACAGGGTTCCCAAAGAGGCCCTGTACCCACACACTCTACAAAAGTGTGGGTTTAAATGTATTTAGCCTAGTATAAGGAAGCTAACATAAATCAACCTGCTGGCCTTAGGTCCAAACCCCTGCAGGAGGTCTGGTATCTAGTTTGGGAACCTGGACCAAAGCCACCGTAGAAGGGATTTTCTGAACCCCAGATGTCCAGTTCCTTCCTGCCCATGGGCTCTCTCTTCAACAGGGCCTAAACTCAGCTCTAGGAATTTATAGTCCACCAGACTTCCAGGCAAAGTGAATGTTTGAACACCTGTGCTGCCTACTGAGACAACACTGCGTCCCCCCACAAAGTCTGGGCATATCCAGAAGCAGCCTTCCCTGCAGTGCTCCCCTTTATCTGAGTTCCTATGTGACTGGGTCTGGTCCAGGGACGATCCCAAGTCCAGTTCTTAGTGTTATCTGATGGGATGCTTTTCTGCTTTTGTGCTTAGAATTATGTGACATGATACGAAAAGAACATCCAAGACAAACATTTTTCTGATGAAATTCCACTGGATCCCCTCTCCCCCACCATGGTAGACTGTAATGAAGCAGGACAAGGATTTTGGAGTTATTTGGAGTTAGCATTCTCAATTCTTATCCAAATGTTGGGTGAATTGCTTAATCTCTTTGGATGTCAATTTCCAGTAGTGTAAAATGGGAGTGTTACCTTGTAGTGGTTTTTATGAGGATAGAACGTATCTAAGAAAGCACTCATTTCAGCTTCTACTAGGTACTGTAAATAATTATCTTCCCAAGGTTACTCATTACAGATCTGATCTGAGCCATATCTGACCAAAAGGGAGACAGAATATTGCACCCTAGAATTAAAGTTATTAATTAATTAAAACACTTCACTAAGTTATGGATTAGAATTTATTTGAAGGGATTTTCACTTCACTCCATTAAAATTAATCAAATCAAATTCTTTTCCATTCATTGGACCACATTTTAGAAATAGCTCATGGCCAGAAAAGAAAATTGATGATTTCATATTTCATATTTGAGTAATTCTGCAAGCTTTTATAAAATCACTTGGATTCCCTCTCTTTACTTTCCATCTCCTGTTCTGTAAAGCCATGCCTCAAAGGGAGAAAAAGAAAACTCAAATCAAAATAGGGCATGGGCTTGCCCCTTGGCACTCACCTTAAACAATTTCGCTCATTTCTGATTAAGAAAAGTCTTCAGCATATAATAATCAAGATCCCAGAAACCCAACAGAAGAACAAAATACTACAAGCAGTAAGAGAAAAGAAACAAATCACATATAAAGGAAAGCCCATCAGAATCAAAGACTTTTCAACACAAACCCTTGGGGCAAGGAGAGCCTGGAATGAAATATTTCAAGTACTAAAAGAGAACAACCTCCAACCTAGACTGATGTATCCTGCAAAACTCTCTTTCAAAAGGGATGGGGAAATAAGACACATCCACGATAAAGAACACCTGAGAAACTACATGAATACCAAACCAGCACTACAAGGAATTCTAAACAAGATCCTAGAAAAAGACAATGAAGGCAACAACATGAGGCCCAACAGAGCAAATCAAATAGGCAAGGCAAGAAACTAAAAGGAGAAGGTGAAAAGGTAAAAAGAGTCAACAAAAGGCCAATAACATGTCAATAATAAGTCAGTACATAACAGCTAGAACTGTCAATGTCAATGGCCTCAACTCACCAATCAAGAGAAACAGACTGGCAAAACGGAATAAGAAGCAAAATTCAACAATATGTTGTATACAAGAAACACACCTAGTGCAAAAAGAAGCCCATAGACTGAAAGTGAAAGGATGGAAAACAATTCTCCATGGAACAGGAGCCCAGAAAAAAGCAGATTCAGCAATCTTATTTGCAGACAAAGCAAATTTCAAACCAAAACTGATTCTAGTATTATTGATGTAGGATGGTGCTATATCATACCTCTGTGAATATAAAATATTTTGTACCTGCTTTATGATACATAGTAGTGATCGTGCTTTATCAGAGCTATATTTAATGATATTACTCTAGAATGTTCTCTTTCCAGATGATGATTAATATGCTAATAAAAAAAATGATGCCAGGGACCACAACAGCAACAGAACTTTGCTGTTTTCTGGATATTATTCTTTTCTTTGTTTTTTTTTTAATGCAATGTGCTGAATGTCTATAATTTTGTTCAGATGACTGCAGAACCTGGAAAAGCTGTTGCTGCTATTGATGCATAACATACTG